TTATTATTTAAAATTAGATTGTATAAGAGGTTTAAAAATATGCATGACTTGACTTAATTTTTTATGCCAAGTCACCAGCCAAGTCAAGTCTTTTAAAGATATTTTCAAGTCAAGTCATGAGTCATAAAAAATTTGCGCGGTCAAGTCAAGTTTTTGACTAGACTTGATTTCCCCAACTGTGGTATGCAAACTACACTGTAAAGTCGAGAATTATTTATAGAAAATGATTGACGATTTTCAAAAAGTTCATATATAAAATTCTCACGGATTTTCCACATTATAGAAAATGGAATTTCCAATAATGTGAAAAATCGACATCGATTTTCTAGATGATGAGGAAGAATAATTTGAATGAGAATGCTGATAATCAGAGACTTGAAAGCGAGGCATGAAAATGGGTGAAGATAAACTTTTTCACCCTTATTAAAAGCTATTGAACTTCGACGTTGAGTGGATGTACTATTTCGGCTTATTGGATGACAATATAGATCTTTTACTAATGAAAACCAAATTTGACAGTCCTCACGTGTGAACGGCTGTTATTTTATTTAAAAAATAAAGAAAATAAATATAAATTGTTAGGATCATGTCTTTGAGTTAATATAACCAAGTACATTTTTGGAAGATGCTAAATTCAGACATAAAAATGTGGAGTATCCGCAAGAGAAAATCGCTTTGCGATCTTCAGAAAGTTGCGGTAGAACTCGACTTTGTCTTAACCAGGCAACCCACGAACCTTTTTCAGTACCTCTTTGTGATCTCCAAGTGCCATACAGCAACAATACTTCTCGAATATGCTGGTTTGCAAAAACTGAGAGAACTTTCGGAATCTACTAACATTTCCGATGTTAAATACTAAAAAAAGCAGAGATCTGTTACACGACAACTTGTTGCAATGTATAGGCTTCAATAGGCCCACTGCACTGCGCTATAGGTTTCAAGTTCAAAAAATAACGTATATTTTCTTTCTATTAAACTCTGATTGTTTGATGAAGCATAAAAGATTGCCGAAGCAAACTGTTTTGACCCATATTATGATTCTACGTTCGCTTTTTGCTACAAAAATAGAAAGAGCTATTGTACACATCTAATCGTGTTTAATAGTTCATGACGTTAAATAGGAAAAAGCGAAAATTAACGCATTCATAGTCACTACATTTTTCGACTAATTCATATGAGTTATTTTTTTTAGGTGTTAAGCCAAATTTTTTCAAGTTTTCTCTCACGTATGCACAAACACAATCTATTTTTCATGCGTCCATATAAATCATTTTCAAATTCAAGAATTTTCTTATTCATTTGATGCATTATAATGCAATTAATCGTTGAAGAATATCTTATGATACGAGCTAATCTATATACTGAAAATAAATAGAAAACAATGAATACACACCTGAGTCGATAAAATTGAGAGAAAAAAACCATTCTACCCAAACGCCTTTCAAGCGAAATAATTGGTTAATGAATAGTAATGAGTTAATATAAAGCATTCAAGCACTCAAAGCTCTTTTCTCGATCAATTGTCCATCCATAACTTTCCAAAGCTAATAGTTCACACTTACATATGTCTGATCCATGACCTTTTATCAATCGTTACAAAAATAAATTATGTACTGAAATTAAAACGTTCAACTTTTATCCAGAAAAATCCTTGTTATTCTCCTTGTTATTTTTGATCATCATTTAGTCATATCAAGAGTCCAGAAATCATACTATCATAAACAGTTCATAACAAATTGGTTAGGCTAATTCTATAGTTTTAAAGGATTAATATATATAATTCACCTACTACTCAGAATTAATAGTTTCAATGAGAATATACTTTCTTCTCAATTTCACTCATTTTACGAGCCTTCAGTTTATATGTGTATTGCTTTCCTAGTGAAGTGTTTTTTCATGCACATGAGATTTTTATAAAGGCGTATCCAGAAGAAAAGTCTAGACTGGGCTCAGCTCAAGACTTTCTAAAAAGGCAAACAACACAATAATACAAATTTTTCTTTCGCCTAATACAGATTGGTAGAAAAAGACATCTCGTTTCAGAACACAGTTAAATTAGTGTAGCTTGTAAAACTTGACATTTCGGGATAGTGTGCTCACTACCATAACAACGTAAGTTTTCATTATTCGCTCCTCTTTTCTAATCGTCGTTCCACTAGAGAATATAATTATAGACCAACTAAAAAGTTACATTCCACCTTCTCGTTAATAGACACCAAACTCTATTTTCTCAACAGAAATTGGCAAATTATTTTGCTAACATAGTCTGTAAATAAAATAAAAGAAAGAAAATGCTGCCTAACGACTAGGAAAAAACGCTACTTCAGTGGTATTGTTAAAATTTAAAAACAATTTCCCATAATGTTTATCTTTTTGTAATTTTGGACTTTTAATTAATTACGTACTAAATTTAGTATTAAACGACGGTGCGGTTTTGAAACATTAATGTTGAGTAGAACAAAAATAATCTCAAGTTAACTACCTTAAAACCGTTACTTCTCGAAGTCCGCACACTTTTAATAAAAAGTGACTATACCTATATCCCGAACTCCGCACATAAGTTACATAAATTTGAAATGTACATGATGTTAAACTACGCACTAAGACTGTAAAAGTTACCGTTACTTCTTCGGCCGTTATCGACAACGGTAACTGAAAAGACAGTTATCGTTAAAACAACGGTAACTGTCGTTTCAGTTATCATTGTTTTAACGCTAATTGTCTTTTCAGTTACCGTTGTTTTAACGGTAACTATCAGTTAGTTAACTTTGTGGTAACTATTTTTTAAGTATGACAGAAATATCCAGGCAGCGGCTTAAAATGGCTTCCAAATAGTGGCGTAACCAGGGGTGGACTAGACAGGGAGTCGCCCGGTCACCGGCAGTCTTTGTCTGGGCACCGGAAGAAACAAAGAATAAATTATTTCCACTAATATTTTTGTCGAGTAATGTCGAAATAACTATTAATTGTTTATTTCATTTTCTTTTTTGTTCACATAATTTCCCTTAATAAAAGTGCAGATACATTCTATTGCCTCTCTCTTAAGAAAGTGAGAATTGAGCAACTGTATTTCAGTTGTGAAAAACATTTAAACTATCGTGGATGGATTTTTTTAAGTTTCGTGAGGCACTACCCTACCACCCACGGATTCCTGGTTACGCCAATACTTCCCAAATCGTTAGTTTTCCACTAAAACTGTTGAAACTTTCATAAATGGCATGGTTTTGTAGTCTAATTTCGTTGATGAAAACAAAAAGATTTCTCAAGCTGGCTTCATATGCTGAGGTCTCCAAAGACCTTAAAAACCACAGTTACAAAACATAGAAGTTATATAATTTCGATTCGTTTAATCTATTGGCACGTGTGTGCCAATCAAAATCATGTCATTTATGAAAGTTTCAACAGTTTTAGTGGAAAACTAACGATTTTGGAAGCCATTTTAAGCCGCTACCTGGATATTTCTGTCATACTTAAAAAATGGTTACCATAAACTTCACTAACTATAGTTACCGTTATTTCAACGGTGACTGAAAAAACAGTTAGCGTTAAAACAACGATAACTGGAAAGGCAGTTACTGTTGTTTTAACGGTAACTGTGTTTTCAGTTAGCGTTAAATCAACAAGGACTTTTACAGTCCTACTCTAACTGGACTAAAACCAAGCAAGAAGTAACATGTATCAATTGACAATCACGCATTTAAATTTAAATTGTATAACTATATGGACGAAATATCAGAATCAAATTAAGAATATATGAAAGAATACATTTTTTTTATTTCCTACAGTGCATGTTTTACTTGCTAATTACAACGTGTACGGAGTTTGACATCATGTACATTTCAAATTTATGTAATTTATTTGCGGAGTTTGGAATATAGGTATAGTCACTCTTTATTAAAGGTGTGCGGAGTTCAGGCATGAACCCTTAAAACTGTAAAATCTCATTTCTATCTATTGGGTGCATTTCTAGCAAAGTTCAATCACCAATTCAGGATGTTTCTATAATAGAGATATTATTAATTGGATTATTTCAGATAACAACACAGCGCACGATTTATTCGAACTTTTTGTTAGAAATAATTAGAAGTTTATAAAATTTATGTATAATTTACATTTCAAAATTGAAATTCAGTTGTTCATTAAACATCACTGAAATAAGCTCTCGACAATTACTTCAGTTAGACTTAAAAAAATATCTAGTTATCTCTATCAATTGAAAAAAAATTTTTTTAATTTTTCGAATCCACCTCTTTTTCTAAGTATTTCTGGACGAGGACGACTATTTGATCTTTCTCTTTTCTTTTGTTAAGTCATTAAATTTTTAATTATGAACATTTTTCATCATATTTTAACATACAAGACACATGAATACTTTTGAACTATAAGAACAAAATAAAATGAAATTGAGTAAAAACTAGTAGATACATACGTGGACGTAATAGAAGTAGAAAATTTATTTACTTCTGTTCTTTATGATAGTAACGACAGGGATCTGTTCAATATAGCGATCATGGAAAGGACTGTTAGTATGGAAACGTAAAGAGAACAAAAAAATAGTTACGTCTATTGTCCAAAAAATACATCATCGTTTGGAAAAAAAAATTAGTGTTTTTGTTTGATAAACACACGCATCTTTTCTTCTCAGTAATATATTCTTTGTAATGTTCAATTCAGAAATAAAAAAGAGAGAACTGTAAACAATCACCAGAGTAAAATAATATTTATTTTTTAGTTCGAGCAGAAAATACAACGGACGTGCGCTAAAAGGTAAACTTTCTTTTAAACTACTTTTCTTGAAGAAATATCACTATTCAGTATATAAGCGATTTTCTTATTCTAAGAATATTGTATTCTTATTGCTTTTAATTCATTGACAAACAAATATTTTTTGCAGCCTTAAAAATTAACTTGCACAGTAGATTTTAAAACAAGTGAATATATTTTTCAAGATTTTACTTTATGTGTAGTTAGTTTATTTAGATTTTCTAGAATAGATAGAGATGGCTCAACAAACTGTCCTTCAACAACCCGGTGGTACAACAGTAGTTAGTCCGTTTCGTTTCGAACAGAATTGGTCTACAGGTTTATTTAATTGTTGTGATGATTGTGGAAACTGTAAGTATGTTTGTAGGATTACAAGATATTTTTGTCTGTAATTATCTCTGCATAGGTTGCTACGCATTTTTTTGTCAACCGTGTTTCATATGTTCATTGGCTAAGACTATCAATGAACCAGCTGTTAGTTGCTGTTGTGTACCAAATTATTTAACCGCTTATCGAACAAAAGTTCGATCGGTATTTCGTATTGAAGTATGTATAAATGATCATCAGAAAAAGTTGTTTTTTCTATGAGGAGAATACTATACGCTTTTTTTTATTCATTTCAGGGTGATGTCTGCAATGATTGCATGGTAGCATCGTGTTGTGCACTTTGTGCAAGTTTACAAATAGAAGCAGAATTAAAACATCAAGGACTTGTTTGAACGACATAGTCTATAAATAATATAGGATTCATTGCGAATAATCATTGGGTTAATAAAAAGAAAAACACAATAAAACTTTAATAATTAATAAAAAATCATAAAAATACTGGTACCATCATAATTAAATATTTTCTTTCTTATGTTTGAAAGTGCTCTAACACAATACTTTAGTTTTTAACGAAATTGTATCCGACCGTATATGGAATGTGTTTGCCTTGATAATATAAGACAAGAAAGCTAAATAATATTCCTGTTGTACTTTTTGAATAATATTCGCGTTACGGGTGAATCTATCAAAACGCGCACTCTAACCGGGGAATCAGCAAGGAAGGTGTGTGAAGAAGTTCTGACCAGGTCCTGCGGTATTATTCGGTAAATGGATCAATGGATAATCTAAAAACTAGTCAAGTGAGGGCTCCACGCAGTGGTATGTTTTTTCGGCTGCAGGTTTAATCACCACTGACCGACGATCGAATCTAAATCCACAAACAGTAAACGTCGTTATCGACTTTTTCGCATATATAAATACAGATTTCAATTCTACCTAAGATCTCTCGCTATTTTGTTCGCATTTCAGATTCTTCGAAGTTCAGAAGAATGTAGAAGACTTCCCAGTACTCTCCATACATTCTAAGACAAACCACGTAAGATGGAGAATAGGGATGTGCACGGATACCATTTCGTACCCGTACCCGATCCGAAAATTTTTTTTCCACCCGTACCCGACCTCATCTGAGAACTTTGTATCCGTACTTGACTTATGCCTAAAAATTTTCTCCTTTTCGTTTTCCAGCTAAAAACTTTTGTTTTTCAGCTGGAGACGTCAAATTATCATTACGTTCTCAAGTAGCTCTTTTTCAGACCTTCATGTATTGTAGCTAAAATCCTGTATTTTTTTTCGTTTTTCTACTAAAACCTTCCGGTTTTGGGGTAAATAAAAAGAAAACAGGACTCATACCCGTAACTGCTCTACCCTTACCAAACTTTCGGTCGGGTACGGGTCAGGTAGTAAGTCTGTAATGAAAAACCAGTACAGTTATAATTGGAATGTGAAAATGTTAACCAATGGAACAGGAATAAAAATGATTTTTTGTACAAAGAAATTTAGCAAGTTTAACAAAAATCCTGAGCCCACTATTCGACTCACGAGGTAGTCTCCTAACTGATAAATCGTTTTTGCATAAAAGGTACTATACACAGATGTAATCGATGATGTTAATTCCGCATGTGACAGCGGTCAACAATAATCGGTCTTTAGAGACGCGTTTCTAGCGATCGTAGCCTTCATTTTTCAAACCTTTTAATCAAAACTCAGTTATGACCAAGCCAGTTTGTAGAGCTGAAGTTTTTTTTCGAACTGAAGTTTTTACCAGAGATATTTTAGACCCTATTTCAGATTGTTTTTTTAAGCGTTCTGGATTTCAACTTCCGGCGTGAGAAAGTTTTATTGAGTCTGCTTTCGACTGTCAGACCATATCGACTTCTAGAGCTGAAACCGTTTAAACACCAGTTCCAGGCTCAGTTTTTGAATTAGAAAGAAATCGTTAAGAAACTTGAAAATAACCGTGAAGTGAAAAATTAATCTTTTTAAAAATGAGGCGAAGCATTTTTCGAAAAATTACATCCCTCAAGTTTTCTCAACTTTTTGACCTGAAAAACTTTTTTTAAAATTTGAAATCATCTTATTCTCACTCAAACTGACGAGCTCTATTCTACCATATACAGAAAAACTTCACTTGAAGTTCGAACTTTCGACACCATAATAAGATTTTACAAAAGGTTGATTTCAACATCAAACGTTTCTTCAATGAATATGAAAGCGAAAGTGTTTTGCGATCAGTTGGTATTAACCAGCAAATATAATAAATTGAGCTGTTTGAAACGGATTCATTATGTTAAACGAGTGATAAGTTCCATTTTGGTCCATGTCCCGTATGATCATGACCATCATCCGTATACCCGTGAGGATATTGTCCTGCATGCATCGTTTGACAAATTCAATGAATTCAATGTTTGAAATTCAACGTGTAAACAAATTCAGTTCGACAATGTTGTTCAATGTGTTTCTTATTATGTCAAATGAAGCAGTATCATTGACATTGATGTGAAAATATTTAGCATCAATGGATAAATGTTGTAGATTCGTCGTTAATAGTAAGATTTGATCAAAGTATAATACGTCTTGTTCGATGTATAACGCTTTGACACACTTCAGTGTTGAATTCACGGAAA